TCTGCGAGCAGGGAGCGTTTCAAAGCAGCTCGGTAAATATAGCAACCCAAAGCTTGCGCAATGCAAGCCGCTGTTCCTACTCTGCGGTTCGTCGTGTCCTTTCCGTCGTAACTCGTCAATAAAGATACTACCTCGGCGGCGTCATTTCTGAAGAACTTTAAACACACACACAACCCACCATTGTAATATTGATAATTTGGGGCAGCCTGTTCCTGAGATGGTCATTGCAGAGAGCTGATATTGGAGGAAATATCTCAATATCTCAAAGTCCTGCCAAGGCCTCCAGAAGACGCCGTTTGATCCAACCGAGGTTGGCGTTGGCTGACAATGGTGTAGGACAGGGGCCTTCCGACTTGGCCCTTTTATGACTTGTGGACTTCAACTCCCAGAATTCTATGCTGGCTGAGGAATTCTGGGAGTTGAAAGTCTACAAGTCATCAAAGGGCCAAGCTGGAAGACCCCTGTTTGTAGGAGAAATTGTGTTCTGAGTTTTAGCAGTGTGTGGGACAGGGCTATGTGGGCCTAGTAGATCACGGGGGAAGCCCGTGATCTACTTCGGCACAATTTGAGCAGAACCTCCTAATCCCTCGTGAGCAGGGCCTACTTTGGCTTACCCGTTGAGGTCATCCAATATATTGGCTGTGCTGGTTGTAGGCTACACAACTGTCGAGATCTGTGGGGTGGGACATGGGCTGCATATGTGTGTGTGTGTGAGAGAGAGAGAGCTGGTAAAGTCTTTTGGCAAACGGCACCAGCAGCATTTGGGAATGTCAATCTATGATTTGTCGAACCTTGGCTTTTTTCTGGCTGTTTCCATTGCTCAGTGGTGACTTTTCCTGCCACCCTGGAATTGCCCCATTCTGCGGAACTCAGATTGGAGAAAGGGAGGCTGATGGGAGATTCCCATGATTACCGAGGCCCAGAGTCTGAATTGCAGGCGGTAAAATGCTCTTCTCCTTTCCAAACACACCTTGCTTGGATCTGTGCAGTGTGCTTTCCAAAATGCATTTCATTGCCCTTTTTAAGCAATACGCAGAACTGGATGTACAGGGGAACACCAATTCTCTTCCCAAAGCAGATTCCCATCTATAACCAAACGCATCTCGCGTCTTCCTAGCAGCCTAGCCGTGTTGGTGGGCTGTTCCTGGGGATGTGTGGCTCACCCCCTACAACTTTGTGGACTTCCCAGCTTTGGCCAAAAACTTCAGCCCAAAACTTTGGGTGGGAAAGTGCTGGGGTTTTGCACTGCGCTTGTGTGTTTTGCTTCACTCGGGCCGCCCGGTTGCTACGGAAAAGTTGAGCTAATAAAGTCTCGTGTGTTTGTGGCCGCTACACCTGCTTGGTTTGTCAGATGTTTTCAAAGACACAAGTGTGGCCAACTTCTCTCTCTCTCTCTCTCTCTCTCTCTCTCTCTCTCTCTCTCTCTCTCGAGAGAGAGAGAGAGAGAGAGAGAGAGAGAGAGAGAGAGAGAGAAAGAGGTCAGGTGTGTTTTGGGCAGCCCTGCAGTCTCGCCAGTTGGACAACAATGGAGGTTTGTTGGTTTACCTGTCTGGACTTTCACAATCTTGTTACGCGGGAAAGGTGCTTTTCAGAAAATGAGAGAGGGACAGAGGCAGGTTCTACGTGACCCTTGTAGCCTCTTGTGCCCTAAGAAGGAAAGGCATCAAGATGACCTGAAATTAAGCAGCCGGGCGGTCCTTTAGCCAATACCTGTATTTACCTGCACAATGGGACACCTACCTGGACCCCTCATTTTTAAGGAGCGTGAACTGAATGCAGAGGGAAAAAAAACGTGCATGAGATTTCCTGCAGAAACCAAAGATTAGACCACCGCAGCCCAGGGAGACCTTTGCAAAAGGGAGGATGGAGTTAGGAAAGGGAACGCCCGCGATACGAATATCTGGAATTGTAGTCCTTCCTGGGAGAGGGTTAGGGTTAGGGTAGTGAAAAGAGCTTTCCGCAGGGGGGGGGCTGCTTGGTGAGAGGCAAGCTGAGTCCCCCGAGTGTGGAAACGTCTCCCAGGCCTTGACATTTCTGCTGATGTATTCCGAGCTCTCGCCAACCGTGCTATCACCTTGCCTGCCGATTTAACGATTATGACTTGGCCTGAAGATGGGGGCGGGGGGCTGTCCTCTGAAGCAGAGGGGGGAGAAAAAGCCTCCTCTCTCGCCTTCAACCACGCTCGGCTTTGACACGGCCACGCGGGACCAGCCGGCGTGTCCGAGTGACCTTCAGCGGAACAGGTGCTCATTCTCTTGAACATCTGTTTGGACCCAGAAGGGGGGAAATAAGGCGCATACAAAGTCCACTTTCAGGGTTTTGAGCACCCCCGTCCCTTCCTTTGAGCCCCAGGTCCTCTCCTGTGACCCTTTGGGGTTCTGAGGTGGCTTCACCCGCAGCCAAGGTGGCTGTGGGCACCCTGGGAGCCTGCCAAGGGGTTTGACGCTTTTGATAGACCAGCATGGAACATCTGTGGGATGGGAGGTGCCTATGTCCTTTTGGGAGGTGTACAGCGTGCTGGATAGTTGATCTCGTGCTGATGGTTGGAAACTCACCTGCCTGCTTCAGACATGTGGCCATCGGTCCGGCCCCTCTGACAGTGAGGCGGGGTGAGCGACGCGGCTTCTCCCAAAAGGGCCTCCGACATCCTTTCTTGGCTGGCCGGTTATTTCCCCAAAGCATCGGGCGGCCCGTTCCTTGATAGCCTGACTTTCCCACCAATCCAACTTTGTTACGGAACCGAACCACCTGGAAAGCAACCACACAGAGGCTGGTTATTACCTGCAAAGGCTGGTCGGCGTTCGAGGGGCAAAGAAATTGACGTTATCTCTTATTTAAGTCTTCTTAATTTTCCATGGGTTACATTCACCTTTTTTTTAAAAAAACAAAAAACAAAAACAAAACACCACCACCCCCATTTTGTCGCCCACCCAGAATCCCCTTATGGATGAGATGGGCGGCCGAGACGTTTAATAAATAAATAACCTGTCCGTCCCAGAAGCAGCCGATCTGCTCTTTTGCCTAAATTACGAGATTGCCATCTAAACCCACCCCCCTTTTAAAAAAAAAACCTCCACCCCTCCCATCTGCACAAAATCTCCTTCCTGCAGAACAGAAGTGGGGGGGGGAAAGAGGGAGAGCATCAAACACCCCCCCACACACACACACAAACCCAAAAGGGGCTTGGGAGGAAAGAACAGGCCCCTGTTCCCAGCTCCGCCACCTGCTTCTCCGCCTCCTGCGTCCCCCCCCCCCTCAAAGACCGGGCTGGGATCTGCAGCACTTGGCAAATATCATTGGGATGTTGTCACCGTTTCCTTTTTCCTAGGCAGCAGCAGCTCCTCAAAGTGATCCCCATCGGTCCTCTGGGTGTGTGTGCGTGTGTGTGCAAGACCAGGGCAAACACAAACCACGTTTGTTGGTTGAATCAAAGCCCTGTTTAAACAAAGGTGGTCCACGCAGGTCTGGAACCTAGACCTGCCCCCTTGGGTGCGGAGGGCAAGTTTGGGAGGCCAAGGTGGGGAAAGGGAATCTGCTGGCACTCCTTCATGGCCCTTGGCCCCGGTCGGAATCCAGTGGCTTCGTTGGTGACCAGATCCAGCTCAGATTCCAGAAAAGCCAGCAGACAGTCTTGAAAGAGGAAAAGGGGCAAGTGGGATTTTATTCCTGTCCCAGGAGCCTCCCAAGTCAAAGGGGGGGGGGGTCGTCCTGGCGCCCCTGGAAAAGGCCCGGAGCTGGTGGGCCCAAAGCAGCCTTTCTTCTCCCGGTGGGTGATTTATAGGCCGAGCGGAGCTACTCGTGGAAGAGGCAAGGCAGAATCTCGGCAAGCGGCCAACAGAATCTGCTGCAGCTGCGGCATTGTGAAGTCATTGCCCTAACAACTGCTGCAAACAGAATAACAAAGTCTGGGCTGTTTGCGTCGCGAAGGGGGGAAGACTTGCGTTCCAGTTCCAGGACCGGCCAGCCGCCCTTTTTCCAAGCTTACCTTTTCCTCTTCCAATTTAGCCAGGCAGAGTTTGCAAATTCTTCGGCTGGGGTCGTGGTTTCTTTCCTTTTCCTTCCCCCACTCCCCCCATCTCATCCTTTTTAACAATGGCCTCCTTCTCTTCATCCTCCTCCTTTTTAATGCATCTTCCGGAAAATCCGTCACTTTCATATAATGATGAGGATGGCTTTCTTAATGTATGGCTTGGGGAAAGTCTGACGTGGGTCTGTTGTGTTTCTAACCGTCCCGAATACCTCCCAATCAATGTAATAGATTTCCTCCTACTTGAGGAAGCTGGTACAGATTTCTGCTGAAAAGCCATTCAATAAATCATGTTCTCTTCTCCAGCTGGATACAGTTCCAGGGGATTTTTTTTATTTACAGTGGATTCTTTTGGGCAGCGACTTGGTTTGCCACTGTTTACCGCAATATACGGAGTTAAGATGTATTCACCATCAAAAAATAACATTCTTTCAAAGGTTGGGCTCTTCTGCGTTGCGACGTAGGTGGACTTGAACCGATTGAATGTGTTTGAGGCTTCTACGGTGCTCAAAAGTGGATTTTTGTATGCCAGAGAAAGGGGAAAAAAAAAAAAACCCTCTATATTGCAGCATCGATACAAGTTCAGGCTTTTAAAAGTCTTGACTGAGCGTTTTGCACTGACTGCAGATTTGCAGTTACAAATCTTCGGAAACGTAACGGTCTGTTCAACACCTTGCAGGGACTCACGAAGGCTGCCATTTTAGGATGCTCACTTTTGTGTAATCCCCAGAGTTTTCACCCCAGACCCCAATTTTCTCTTCCTTGTTCCCCATTTTGTTGTTGTTGTTTTTTTAGTGGAGAAAAGATGGCTTCCTTATTAATCAAGAAAAAGCAGCTTTCATGCAATTATGGAGGATGTTGCAACTGGATCCCGTGGCTGTACTATCGACCCATCTTTGATGGACCTTTGTTCTTTTTTTAAAAAATGCAGTGGAAAATATCCAATTTTCTTTTTTCTTTTCCCCTCTTTCAGGTCCCGTCCGATCCTCCTGTCCCCAAGAAACCCAAAACGGACGATGTCCTGCAGTCTCCCCTACTTGGTGATAAAGAGAAACAGTCCAGTTGGTTACGATCCTTGTCCAATTCATCCAGTAAGGTGAGTTTTGGGCGAGAGCTGGCAGGCTGCAAATCCCAAATTCTTCCTTGTCTGACCGAGCTGGGTGGACGGAGGCCAGGATAGCCCTCGGTTGGATTTGAGAGTTCGGCTAGTTTTTGTGTTGGCGTCAAACGGCGTGTGATGTTCGTCCAGTAGGCTCTACCTCCTGACTTCTGTGTGGCACGCCACTCACAAAACTTTTGCAGCGTTTAGCCAGAGATTCAGAAGCTGGGATCTACGAAACTCCAGTCTCCCTCCAGATGTTTGCTTTATCCATTTGTCTCTTACTGTTGTTTTTCTTCCCCCTCTTTGTTTTTTTTTTAATCAGAATATTGGGTGTCTCCATCCCCAGCAGCGTCTTTCCGCATTCCGGCCCTGGTCCCCCGCCGTTTCAACCAGCGAGAAGGAGGTCTCCAACCACATCCCTCGGTTGATCAGAGACAAGTAAGGAGAATCCCGAGTTTCTCCCGGCCGAAATTTGAAGGCCGTTAAATTGAATAGCTAGCCAGAGGTGTAACTTGAGCAACAGTGCTCTGAAAAGTGTCCCACAGGATGCATCAGCACCCCGAGGCCTTAATATCTGAGACAAATAAGACACGGCAGACAGAACCAGGGTATAAAATTAAGCCTTTGGAACATAGAAGAAAAGGGTGGTTAATCACACGGTTGGGCTGGAGAGTGGATGGCTCGGATGAACGAACGGTGCCTTTGGTCTAGACCAGGGGTGGGGAACCTTGGCTGTTTTATGACTGGTGGACTTCAACTCCCAGAATTCCTGAGCCAGCCAAAATAATAATAAAGGTTCTATCTATCTATCTATCTATCTATCTATCTATCTATCTATCTATCTATCTATCTATCTATCTATCTATCTATCACAGTGGTTCTCAACCTTTTTAATGTCGCGACCCAACCGGTCGTAAGTCGAGGACTACTCAACCGGTCGTAAGTCGAGGACTGCTCAACTTGTGCAGCACCGTTTGCAGAATGGGGCTTTTGGTGGGCTCAGCAGGGCAGAGACAGCCTGGACAATTCCTATTGGCTTTTGAAAGCCAATAGAATTAGACTCTATTCAAGAGAGTCTATTCTATTGGCTTTCAAAAGCCAATAGAATAGAAGGGAGTAGCACAGCTAAGGAAAAGGGGGAAAAAATGGCGGACTGCGTTGTTTGGCAACCCCCGTGAAATGGTCGTTCGACCCCAAATGGGGTCCCGACCCACAGGTTGAGAACAACTGATCTATCTATCTATCTATCTATCTATCTATCTATCTATCTATCTATCTATCTATCTATCTATCTTCTATCAATCATCTATCAATCAATCATCTGTCATCTATATATATTATCTATCTATCTATCTATCTATCTATCTATCTATCTATCTATCTATCTATCTATCTATCTATTTATCTGTCAAGTTGCTTTGCCTCTTTAAAATTCGGAGCAGCAAAATAAGACTACTTTGCCCAGTGCAGAAGTGAACTTTTCAAAGCTGGCAATTAAGCCTTTAGATGATTCATTGCGTTAATGAGAAACGGCACGGAAACCCACCCAAGGAGCTCTCTCTCCCCTCTCCAGCCCTCTCCGGAGGGAGCGGGTGAGTCACCCCGAAATAGCTTTGTGGGGGCTGCGAGGTAACCTGGCATTCTTTCCACCCTTCCCTTTGCCAGTTTCTATTCGTATAAAAGTTTTGAGAACTCCGTCGCACCCAACGTGGCGCTGGCCCCCCCTCCTCAGCCAAAGATCGTCAGCAACCCACTGTGCCCCCCGGCTGCCTTGCGGAACGGCGAGCCCCTGAGCAACCCTCCCCAGCTCCGGAAAAGGAAACAGGTCTCCGAACACCCGGCCGTGCCCGAACCGACGCCCGCTGCCGTGCCCACCGTCGCTCCTCCCGCCGCTACCACGGAAGAAGACAAGGAATCCGAAGCCGAGATAGAAGTAGAAACACGAGAAGAATGTAAGTGTGACTTTTGGGGGGGGGGCGGGGGGGGTAAGCCGGTGGAGGAGAATCCTCAACCTCCTTTGCTCAGAAAAGCTGATTCGACGGTCAAACAATTCTCGAGCACCAGGAGGAGATCCAGGCAGCTCAAATGTGTATAAAATTTGTTGTAAGCTTAAGCTCTCTCTACAAGAATCTGAGCTACTAACGGTCGAGGGAAATGAGCGGGAGATAAGAATGGGAAGGAATTCAAGGTGGGCTGGACTTTAGGTCTCTTGTGGATGTGAAGGGACTCATGACCGATGACGCGTTTGACCCTTCCCTCCCCCAGGCCCAGCCTGGTCATCTCCGACAATAATTTTCTGTTAAAGCCATCTTTCCAATAGGCTGAACCTTTTTTTGTTAAGCAAACTGCCTTTGAAAGGAGCTCCTGGGACTTCAGACCTTCCTGTCCTTCAGAAGGTGGCCAAAACCGAGAACGGGACTTCCTTTGAGTGTTGTTAAATGCCACAATTCTGTAAGGTTAAAGGGATGCTAGTCTTAAGCTTCCCACAGTGAAAATACACCCAGGGACAGAAGTGCAGGACCTGGTTCCCACAAACGCTGTGTTTCTTTGCACCCACGTTTTAATTATGGAACCCCGCCATCCCCAAATGCTGCCTGAGGGGGCGGCAGGTAGCCTGACTGCCACGGCTTCTTTCCTTCTCTTTGCAGTCACTTCCTCCCTGTCCTCGCTCTCCTCCCCATCCTTCACCTCTTCGAGTTCAGCCAAGGACATGAACTCCCCCAGCCTGCAAGTCCAGCCTGCCGTCCCTGCCAGCAGCAACAGCAGCAGCAGCAGCACCGTCTTTGAAGGCTCGAGTCATGCCGAGCCTCCCAACGGCCCCAATGGGTTGGAAGCTGAACTGGAGCATCTGAGGCAGGCCTTGGATGGCGGTCTGGACACGAAAGAAGCCAAAGAGAAATTCCTCCACGAGGTGGTGAAGATGAGGGTGAAGCAGGAAGAGAAGCTCAATGCTGCCTTGCAAGCCAAGCGCAGTCTCCACCAGGTAATGGGGTGCCCTCCCCAGGGCCTGGGGCACAAAGGGGACCCTATTTTGGGGGACAGTCCCTGGGTGGTGCTCGGATTCACCTTTTCTAATGATCCGCCTAGATCTTGGAAGCTCAAATGTGTGTGTGTGTGTGATATCACCGTAAGTTAATTAGTGTTCCCCAACCTCGGCAACTTAAAAGATGGGTGGACTTCAAAGACGTGTGAAGTGGGCTTGCTGGCTGGGGAATTCTGGGGTTTGAAGTCCACCCATCTTAAAATGACTACAGTTCAGCAACACTGGTCTAAATCAGGAGTCTCCAACCTTGGCCACTTTATGACTTGTAGACTTCAACTCCCAGAATTCCTCAGCCAGCCATGCATCTTAAAAGTTGCCAAGATTGGAGACCCCTGAGGTTATCCAACTGACCCCTTGCCTAGTCGATTGGCCTAGCCCTAGCCTTTATTTGCCAGCTCCCTCTCCCTTTCTAGATTCCATGTTCCCTTGATGCCACTTGCACAGGAGCATGGGCTGGGGTGTGGCTTGGCCTCAGGAGCATTCCCCCCCTCCTCCCCACTTGGGCCCTTCTGCTGTTAAGCCGCCCTCTCGTCCCAGGAGCTGGAATTCCTCCGCGTGGCCAAGAAGGAGAAGCTGAGGGAGGCGACGGAAGCCAAGCGCAACCTGAGGAAGGAGATTGAGCGCCTCCGGGCAGAGAATGAGAAGAAAATGAAAGAGGCCAACGAGTCCCGGATACGGCTGAAGCGGGAACTGGAGCAGGCCCGACAGGTCCGGGTGTGCGACAAGGGCTGCGAGGCCGGCCGTCTACGAGCCAAGTACTCGGCCCAGGTGAGTGTGGGAGCAACCGTGCTCTCTTCCCACCCCAGAGCTTGGCTTGGGATGCTCGAGAGATCTCTGCCGGTGGGCAAACTCCCCCAAAAGTTAAAGATTCAAGGAAGCATCAAGCAGCATCGCTTGCCAGACCTTTTCAAAGGAACCCCTCAGGAGAAAGCTGGGTGGAAAAAGACTCTGGGCGGCTCTGAGCATCTCCAATCTCTCCTCCTCCCCACGAGTCTGAGAACTTGTTATTTTGGGTTCAGGTTCCCGTTCTCGGCTTGAGTCAGACTGGGCTTGCTGGTGAAAACGTCCCTTTCAGAGGCTGCGGGAGAGGCCTTGGGAGACGGAGCCAAGGGAACGGGAAGATAAGAGACAGCAGAGCCCACCACTGTATAACGGGTGGAGAAAGAGGCTCGGAAGATTTGGGGGCCGTAAAAGGGAGGGAAGGAAAAATTGTACTTTTCAAATTCTGGTGAACGTAGCTTTACAATGAGGTAGAATGAGCGTATATGACTAGGGAGATGCTGCGTTCTCCTCCCCCAGTTGCTAACCAAGGCTTGTCTGTTCCTCTTAAGAGAAAGGAACCCAGAAGGACAAGGGTCCAAAAGCCCTAGGGAAGGAAAGGACCCACTCCCCCCCCACACACAAATGCGGGCCGATCGCTCTAAGCAGCCCTGTGGTTTGGAAACCCCACTTACTCACCCTCCTGCTCTCCTCCCAGATTGAAGATCTGCAGGTGAAGCTCCAGCATGCGGAGGCCGACCGGGAACAGCTGCGGGCCGACCTCTTGCTCGAGCGCGAAGCTCGCGAGAACTTGGAAAAAGCTGTCAAGGAACTGCAAGAGCAACTATGGTCGAAGCATAACGACCTGCCCAGCAGCGCCCACACCCCAAAAGACCCCGAGAACTGAGGCCGCCCCGGCCCCGAAACCGGTGGAATCGATGCGCTGCCTGTGGCCCCAGGGCCGATCTGTGCATAGTAAGCGAGAATGCGTTGGAAGAGGCTTTTTTTCCCCCCATCCCTGCATGTGGCTAAAAAAAACCCATGGATCTGGTTCTTAATCGGAGGGCAAATGTTACTCTTTATAACGAAAGCACTGAATTCTGCCTCTTTTTTTAAAAAAAATCCGTATAGCACAACATTTTCCTGTGCCTATAACGTGAAAAGTGTTTATAAATCTACTCTTTTGAGTCTGCAGCAAAAAAGAAAAAAGGAAAAAAAAATTAAAATGTATTTTTTCTTTTCTACTGGGAAAAAAAAACAACTTGTCCGGTCAGCAGCGTTTGGGGAAAGAAGGGACAAGTTTCCAGGGCTGCTACAAATATATAGAGAGATATGTGTGTGTGTGTGTCTGTGTACACACACTCACACACATATACGTACACCAACAAACCCCAACAAGCCCTTTTGTTATAAGCTATTTCGAAATGCAAATCATTTAGTCAAGACGACGTATTAACTAAAAACCATTGAGATTTTTTAAAAATAAAATAAAATAAAATAAAATATGAAATATATTATATATAAATGTGGGGTCGGGGGTGGGATACTTTTGATGCCTATTGTGTACATTGGTACAGGTGTTGGAAAGTGTTTCAGGAAAGAAAATAGCCATGAATGATTTCAAATCAAGGATTTTTTAATGAGAATTTCCGATTTTAGGATTCCCCCTCCCTTCTCCAGGTTTCAATCTCTTTGCTTTTCCTATGTTTGATCATAAAAAAGAGAGAAAGTTAGTGGGGGGGGGAGAAAAAAAAGGATATTTGTACGTTTAGGAGTAGATCTCTGTCCTAAATAAAACCCAGCCTTATAAAATTCAGTGTTCGCTCCTCGCAAAGACTCGCTTTGACTGCAAAGCACTTCGGACTTTAGCAAACAACCACCTGAACACGTCGAAAAAGAACGAGAGGAAAGGCAGAAGTTTAACCTGAAAGAAACAGCTGGATTGATTCCCCCCCCCCTCCCCGTTGCTTGTGAGCAAGATGCGGGAACGAATGAGTGGCACGCGTGCGTGTGTTTTTTGGGGGGAAAGGAAAAAAAAAAACAAAAACCGCCTTCCGTTTTGCTCAGTGAATTCATTCCACTTTTTTTGATCCGCCACGCCTCCGAAATTTGCAGCGTTTGACGGACTTCTCTGGAAACTGGCAAGGCTGCGGCAGCCAGAGAGCGTTGGGGTGCCCTCTGAACGAACGAGACTCGCCTTTGTATTAAAAGAGACAAAAGACTTTTTGCTGCTGTGAATAAGCCAACTTTTGTTTATTCTTTCGGGATCTTGTTTTTTTTGTTGTTGTTGTTGTCACGGGATGATTTTGTTTGTTTGTTTCTCATGTGACAAAAATGCTTTAATCTTGGGATCTTGAAGGCGCCAGCAGTGCCCGCTTCCTCGCAGTGTGCAGCCAAAAGATGCTCAGGGGATGCTTTGCAAAGTCCCCATCTTAAGACACACGTATGTGCACACACAGACACATTTTTCTGGGGGGTGGTGGGGTTAATTGGAAGTCCCTCCGCCCGTTAGCTCCTGTGGCTCCTTTTCCATCATCTTGTAAAAAGCGGGGCTGGCTGGGAAATTCTGGGAGTTGAAATCCATCTTAAAAGGCCAGCAAGGTTGAGGCACACTGTCACACAAAGCACCAGCTGCAAGTTCGCAATGCTTTGTCGGCCACTGGGGTGCCAGGAACGTGGCTAGCTCGGCGTGCGCCTTGGCTGCGATACTGCAGAATTGTCACGGGTGAGAAACACGGGTGAGTTTGGAGCTGCCAAGGGCCTCTTCATGATACCTGAAAGATCAGTGGCTCTAAAGGTGGAGACAGGGATGTCGGAAGCCAGCCACTGACCATAGTTTGCGCGTAAGCCAGAATCCTTTCTGCCCTGTTTACCAGCTTGTTTTGCTCAGTTCTGAGAAGCAAGAGCGGTTTTGTAAGGACCAGCCTGAAGGAACCGCATGCACACATCTCAGGCAGCCTAAAGCAAGAATAAGCCTTGGCTTGTTCAATTTGCTTCCCCTCTTTTATGGCTTATTTTGGTCCGGTGTGATCGCAGACATGGGCTGGATGGAGAAACACACCAGGATGAAGCCAGTAAAGCCAAAACAAGAGTTTGCATTCTCCTTTGCACGTTGCATAAAAGCCATATCTGCAGCTGAGAAGCTGTCAACAAACTGGGTTTCAAACTGAACTTTATTGGCCTAAACCAAACCTTGGTTTGTTTGTTTCCCCCCCCACTGCTTGAACATTTTTAACGATGCCAAAACCAAATTAAAGCAACCACCTTCCAGTTTACCCAAGAACTGCAAATTCTCCTTCCTATTTTACTGTTCTTAAACACGGAAGGAAAACGTGTTTTTCCTCCCTTTGGTCTATTCACACTGCGGCAGCCTGTCCTAAAATTAAAGTATTAATTTGCAGTACACTAAAGGAAAAAAAAATGTATTAATTTTTTTTTTAAAAAAAGCTGTTATTATCCATTCTAATAGCCATTGTAAGCATGAATGTTGAAAAAGGAGGAAAGTACATTTAGGGGAGCGGGTGGGAGACTGGTTAAGCAACCATATAAAATACAAAGGAAGATTTATTAGAAAAAAGGAATCAGGTTACTTAGGCAAAATAAAAATAAAAATGAAAAGCACGAAACCGCTCAGTGAACTAGCTTGCATGATACAACTTTGTCTAAGTTTGAGGTCTCTGCCCTTCTTCATTTGCAACGAATGGAGTTCAGCTCTAAAGTGCAATGCAAAACAAAACAAAACAAAAAGGAATATTGATTGTGTTTATGCAGTTATTTTTTTAATGTGAGGTTTTTTTTTAAAAAAATTGCTTCTTTGTATGTTTTTTTCTGCAATTATTAAAAGAACATATGCATGAAATTAAATTTTTTACCATACCTATATTAATTAACGGGCATTATTAGCGTCTTATGTAACAGTCCATAAAGGTGTGTCTCCCCCTCCTCCACCAGCCGAAGACCCCCCCCAGCTGTCTGAATGTTCATCTTCAGCGTCGCTTTTCTGCGAGTGGCATAGAAAACCTGCAACACCACCAAGATGGAAGATTCCCTCTTAGCGCCAACCTGGGCTGGTTAGATCAATGCAGGGTTCATCCCCTTTCCTGGGGTGGGGGGCAGGAGGGGAAAGGAAATTCCCACCCATCCAAGAAATTGATACTCAGGGCAAAAGAGGAGAAAGCGTTTCGCCGATAAATCCCTGGGGGGGGGCAATGTTATTAGCAGCTCCCGAGAGTGAGCGGTGGGCATGTTTGACAGTATCCCCCCCCCCCCAGGTTCCCTTTGGCACGCAGCTATTCCTGAAACCTATCTATCGCATCAAAATGCAAGGTGGTGCATGCAGCCTTTAAATTTAGCCTTTGATTGGGAGGGGGAGATTAAAATTGAAAGCAAAAATGCCCCCCCCCCAAAAAAAACCAGGTTTGGTCTCCCAAAGCAATTTAGCTCATAGGAAAGAGATGAATTTCTGCAATTTCAACCACGCAGGTCATACCCCACTTTCTCTGTTAATTTGGTTCTGCCCCCCCCCCCAATTTTCTTTCAAAATTCCAGGAAAAAAAGAATTACAGGTGTCCGGCCCCCATCTGTGTACTTTGGACGGGCCTTTCCGTTTTGCAGTATCGCCTCCCTCCCCCCCCCCTTTCCCAACCAGCCAGGGATCCTGTGAAATTGACCTGCGTGGAAGGTGCTGCTTTCTAAATTGTGTGTGTGTGTGTGGGTTTTGTGTCCGTGCCCTCTGAGACGGCTTGAAAACCAGCATCCTGGGCTGCCTCGCTCGCTCACACCGAAAGGGGCTGTATAGGGGAGCCCAACCAGCCTTTCGGAGGAGAGCGCAAGGCCAGCCATGACTGAGGCTACGATCCAGTTGAAAGTTGCCGCCGTTTTGGGTCCCGCAACCTCAGCCTGCGCTGCCACCGTCAAGATGGAGAAGAGCTGGAGAGAAGCAGAGGGACGTGGGTCCACCTTGAACCCCGTCTCTTAGCCGTGGCCCTTTTAAGATGGGTGGACTTCAACTCCCAGAATTCCTCAGCCAGCGAAGCTGGGGTTTGAAGTCCACCCATCTTAACACTGGTCCAAACAATCCTGGTTTTGCTCTCTCTTAGCTACCTGGTTTAATTTGGGGAGGGGGGGATATCAGTATATATTGGTATATAAACTATATATACCTATACATAAAATATAAATACATATATACATATCTAAATACATTGTATATACAGTTGAATTCAATTTTTAAAGAAATGCCCAGTTACATTTTAACAAGGGCGGGGATGAAAAAATAAAATACCAACAGCAATAAGATATTGATGTCTACGGAGCAGCTGAGAATGATTTAAAAAAATAATAATTGCTTTTTCAAATGGAACTACCCAATGTAAAAAAATAAAACACAAAACACTGTAAATACTTCTTTTCGTTTTATAGCTGTATAATAAATGTATATGGTGTTTACTTTCTGAGGTCTTTTTTTTTTCTTCTTCTTTTCTTACTGAGCTGTTTGGTTTTACAACTTATGCTTTGAAATGAAGACAGGTTGAAATTTGTTAGGGAATAAAGGCCCCACCACGAAATGACACATTTATTTTGGAATCTCAATGTCGGTTTAAACCTTTGGTCCCATTATTTGCGCCATATTATTCATGTTTCATTGTATTTGATGGTTAAAAAAATAAATAAAATGGACATTTCCTTCTCTAAGTCAAAGCAGTTCGTGTATGAGAGAGAGAGAGAGAGAGGCTTTTTTTTAGAAAAAAACAAAATAATTTAGTTTTCAACAGGGACTCAAACTGCAATTTTTGAATAGATAAAAATAAAATAAAAATCTTTTTGAGCGCATTTTTCTTTAGGTCCCACCACTGTTGCTAACAATTCAATGGCTTCCCTATTTTAAAATTATTTTTATGTGATTAAATGTGCTTGCTTGTTTACAAATGCCTGAGTGAGAGAAAAAAAAAAAGGGGGAAAGAGAATGATAACCCTTTGCCCTCCCTCCCTTTTTTTTTTCCAACCTGGAAACAGATAATATTGTAATATAAAGGACTTTTATCAAAGTATGTATAAAAAAAAATAGCTATGCTTATAAATACATCTCAGTGACTGAATGTACAGTGTATAGACTCATTATCGCTAATAAAATTGTCCGGAAAAGTAAGTCCAAACCCAATAAAAGTATCTTATTTTACTATTAAAAGAAAATTGACATAATCTCACCAATTGAGTATCCATGGGATTAAGAAAAACCAATTTGGGGGTATAAGTTGGGGGGGGGGTCAACAATAAATGGGTGTGTCTTGAACTTGACTTAAAAACAGTTCATTTAGTGACCAAGTTACAACATTACTGTTAAGAGGCACCTTTACTAAAACACCCAAGCCAATCTTTTCCTTGAATTTTCGAAGGCTTGTTTGAATTCCATATTATTTCTACGTCGTCTTCTTGTTTGAAGAGACCAAGGCAGGACCCACTAAAGTAACCCCATCAATCGTATCAATGTCATAGGACAAATTTTTTATAAGACCTGCTAAGTCCCTGGTCAGCTTTTTTCAGCCTCCCTTGCTGCTTTGAAGGCTTAATGAAAGTTTCCCTTAAACTCTAGTTTAAATCAAAATAAACGGGGTGGGTGAGCCCCACAGTTCCCCTCTTCAGAGAAAAGATGACGCTTTCCAATCAATTAAGTGTCTTTAATTGACGGACGAGGACTCGGCTCCACATCTCAAGGACCTCACCCTACCCACGGAGACCCCACTTTCCTGTATTTATTTTGAGGGGCGAGGAGGAAGGCTGTGGAAGGAGAATTATCCCTTTTTCTTAACGTTGCATGAATTAGCCCAAATCAAGTAGGAAAAAAAAAAGTTCAGAGTGTGGAGTATTCAGGGTTTTCCCAGGAAATAACTAAGGAAATGACTTGATACTGTCTCAGATACAGGAATCGAACCGCAACATAGTAAGAGCGAAAAATAAACATACTTCTCTGCGCTAGGAGAAATGTGAAATCTGAATTAGGAGCCAATTTTTGGGGAGGATTGTTGAAAGAGGAATTGGAACACCAGCCTTTGGAGACATGGACCTGTACTTCTTGAAGGGCAGATGTTTTTTTTTAATAAATGGAATTTGAATGCGGTGAGCCTCTTAATTCTTTTCGGTGGGAAGAAAAAAGGCAGTGTCTTGTACTCCTTGCCCCAAAATGAGATTCACAATGGAGGTGACTCAACCAAAGTTCAAACGCTAAACCGCACTGCATAATCGATTACCGCTTCCTAAGCTAGGAAGATATTTTGTAGTTCAAAGAAAATGAACTTCATATAGTTCAAGAAAAAAAAAAACCCACGAATTTCACTCAAAATGCTTGAGGATTTTACTCCTTACTCTGGAAAGGGAAATAAAAAGTATTGAGCACCTTGTTTTTCTCATTAAGCCTTTTTTTGGGGGGAAAACGATTCTGCGGAGGAGCCCCCCCATGGAGGAAGCAAGCAAAATTTCCTCTAATCACATTGCATTACAATGTGGAAGTAGAATCAGGGAGTTGCTGCAAGGCCAGAGTACCATTTTGGTGGGGATGACAAAAGGCTTGAGAGGCAGAAAATTTGGGCGGGGAGGCTGTAAAAAAGAGCATTTTGAATCCAGGACGCATCTCTGGGAGGTGCTGTGAGATGCTCCTGGCTGGTTTTGTCTGATTTAAACTCCCAGGACTTGGCACCTGTTCATTTACCTCCCCTTTCTGCTCTGAAAGATGCACACAAGTCTTTCACAGACAGTCTAACATCTGTTTAGCAGACACCTTTACGACATCCAGACTCAACCCAGCAAATGTGCTAGGATTTGTGCCAGCTCCTGCCTAGGTGTGAACCAAAACACACAAGAGAGGCAGCTTCTAAAGGGCTTTCCAGCATTCTGGGTGAATTGATCAAACTCTAAAACAAATAAAACAGCCGTCCTGAAATTGTCTGGGCCGTTCTTCCTTCTGGAGCAGAGTCAATCAAATCAAAATTGCCCTGAATCTCAACGCTCTCCCAAATTCACACCCATTTTAACCTTCCCCAAAAGTGATGGATGGGGGGGGGGGGGAGAAACAGAGAAGATTGACAGGGAACTTGAGATGGCAGAGGGAGACACCTAGGGCGTGCGTAGCTTTCTCTTCCTGATTCAGCTAAACAGCTAAAGCGATGTTTCCCCACCTTGTTGACAACTTCAAGATGTGTGGACCACAACTCCCAGAATTCAGCAGTCAGCAGGGGATCTTTTCCCTAAAGACTGGGCGGCCTACGTGGGCTGGTTCTTCCAACATTTCAGCCTTTTCTTTTTCTTCATGTGGAATATACATATCTGCACGTTGGACTTGGTAAATTAATTAGCTAAAGCTTTACTGGATGGTAAAGAGAGAGGGAAAATGGGTTTACTTACTGAAAGCTAAAGCTAAGGATTTCCTTCCTTCCTTCCTTCCTTCCTTCCTTCCTTCCTTCCTTCCTTCCTTCCTTCCTTCCTTCCTTCCTTCCGAGTTCAACTGCTAGAGAAAAAAAAGAAGAATCTTATTGATATTTCTGCAAACAAATGGCAACTTCTGCTTATAAAACTCTACATTTCCTGCTAATCGCAATCAGACCTGTATAAGGTTTTTGTTGTTGTTGTTGTCTCATTTTGGCATGAAACCCGACATTCCTTGCAAAAAGGCGATTCTGAGGGTAAAAGAATGTTCTATATGAATCCGTAACCCAGGGGTGTCCAACAGTGGCAACTTTATGACTTCTGGACTTCAACATGCTGGCTGGGGAATTCTGGGAGTTGCAGTCCAAAAGTTTTAAAAGTTGCTGCGGTTGGACACCCTTGGTTTAATCCAGGGTTAGGCAACCTGGGCTCTTTTAGGACTCGTGGACTTCAACTCCCAGAATTCCTGAGCCAGCCACACTGAGGGGAAAGGGAGAGGTTTCCAAGCTGAGCCAGGCTGGCTCAGGAATTCTGGGAGTTGAAGTCCATGAGTCATGTAGGGGCCATAGTTCCCCCATGCTGGCTCAGGAATTCTGGGAGTTGAAGTTCATGAGTCATCAAAGAGCCAAGGTTGCCTACCCCCTGGTCTAACCAAAAGGCTGACTCCCTCTTTGCTTCCTTTGCGCCGTAGAGATGAGAGCTTATTTTGACCCCTTGAACAAAGGATGGCAAATGTTTTAACCTGGATGCACGCTGATTTCCTCTTTGCTTTCATTCTTCTTCATCTTTTTTTTTTAATCTGTAACCTCCTAAAAGTACTTTCAGAGAACTTTAAATCTCACGTACTTTCTCCCCCACTCCGCCCCGCTTTCCAGTAACAAATCTCTTTCACCATGAAGGCTGGTCCAAAACTGTAATAAAGATAATTTCATTTGAATCTTGCGTGCCCTTTTAAGTTATGCTGGAGGTTAGATAAGACGTAGGCCTGCGACAGACAAATCCGCTGGCAGTTGTTCCAAGGTTGGGGACAGCTGCTGAAACAGCTCCCCAAAGCTTCTGCCAGGAAGCCAATAGCCTCTCAGCTGCTTCCAATGTCCGAGGACTTCTAAGTGTCCTTGAGATACGCCGCCGTTCTCCAGTCATAAAACCAGCCAGCCTCTCTGCCCCAAAGGGTCTTAAACAAGGGGTTAAGCTATGAGCTGCCATATTTTGACAAATGCCTCCACGGCTCCATTTGTACACGAAAAAAAGAGTCCAAATTTACAAGGAGGGGGTAAGAACAAGCTGCCCAGACAGAGTTTCCCCTGAGAGTGAGATGGATGGCTTATAAATGTAATATAATACATAAATAAAATATTTCGCTCCCCCTTCCCTAATCATTCCTCTCTGGAACATTTAAATACTGTTTGGGTATCCTTATAAATCCATTTTTCTCTCTACCTTACCCCTTTTCCAGTCTTGCCTCCTGCTAGTGAGCGAGGGTTTGCATCTGTAGATTGTTCTCTGTGTGTGTGTCTGTGCAGTGTGTGTGTGTGTGTGTACAATTTTGACCGACTGGTTCTAATCTCCACCTGCCTATACCTCCTAGTGACAAGCCACAAATATTTCAGCTATTTGATTGATGAAAACCCCAGCGAAATTTTGCCGGGGGAGATATCCTGTAAGCACCGTGATTGATGGCTTCTTGCAAACATCACAGTTTTTAACATGGCTGCTCATGTGGGTCTCTGGAGCGGGGACAATTATGGGGGCTGAGAGAGAGGGATGAAGGAAGGAAAGGAGAAAAGAAGGGAGGGAGAGAGGAAGGAAGGAAGGAAGGAAGGAAGGAAGGAAGGAAGGAAGGAAGGAAGGAAGGAAGGATCAAGAAAAAGAACAGAGGGAAGGTGGGAAGAAATATCAAAGGAAGGAAGGAAGAAAGGAAGAAAAGAAGGGAGGGAAGGGAGAAAAGAAGGAAGGAAGGTGTCCAAGCAAAAACATCCGATGTGATATAAGATTATAATTTGGCCTAAGAAAGTAAACAAGTAAATAAGGAGCAAACTGGTGAAAAATCTGCCTTTTGTCCCTGAAGGCTATTCAAAGCAGCAACTTCGCCTCTCATTGGAGGAGAGGCCCAGTAGGTGTGGCCTTGCCCCTGCAGCCAATCAGTGTTGGAAGGAGTATTCTAGGCAGCCAATAAGGGGAGAGGGTGACTTTTTGAAACTCTCTTGCCTTTCAGCTCTTTTTCCTGGAGGGCTAAACTGGTGTGTGTGTGTGTGTGTGTGTGTGTGTGTGTGTGTGTGTGTGTGTGTGTGTGTGTGTGAGAGAGAGAGAGAGAGAGAGAGACAGAGAGAGAGAGAGAGAGAGAGAGAGAGACAGAGACAGAGACAGAGACAGAGAATGGATGGGTTTAGATTAGTGTTCCTTATACCAGGCAACCTGAAGAGGAATGGACTTCAACTCCCAGAATTCCCCCGTCCTGCAAACCAGCTGAGGAATTCTGGGAGTTGCAGTTCACAGATCTTCCCCCCCCTGACCCAATGAATTATGATGGGGAGGTGACCCGAGTCTCTTTGCCACTCGCTTTCAAACAGTTCAGACAACCAGTTTCAACCACGGATCCCGCAAGAGCGACCGAGGCATCCCTTGCCCCCCCCCCCAGTGCACCCCCAAGAGGGCCTGGAGATAGCCCCGGGATCCTCTCTTCTGACGTCACTCCGAAGCCCATCTGTCCTCCCCCGAGGGCACACATTCTCAGGAGGGAGGGGGGGAAGGGTAGCCGACGGCGAGCCCGATGGGAGCATCCATGTTTGGGTTCTGCCTGCCCAAAGGACGAAGGACGTCTGCCAGATGACAGCTGTTGGGAAAGAGATTTTCCGCTGGTTCTGACCTACTTTTTCACAAAAGGCGCAGGAAGAAGGCGGAGAAGGGAAGGAGGAGAAGAGGAAGGGAACGCCGGCCGGCCGAGAGGAAGGGCCGCTCCGGGCTCTTTGGTCCCACTTGGGAACGGGGACGAGGGTTCCCTGCTCCCAGCCGCAGGATTCGGAGTGACCCCCCGAGTTGCAGAATGGAGAAGGAACGTAATCTCCAGGTTGCTACTCGCTGGGCCTGGCAAAACACAAAGGCTGGGCGAGACGATGCCCAAAGCTCCCTCTATGGTTTTCGTTCTTTGGGATTCTCTCCAGAGTCCGGGAAAGGAAGCCGGCGGGCTCGTGTGTGTGTGTCGCAAGCGGGGTTTTCCAGAGGAGAGGCAGCAAGCCACAACTCCAGGGCATCGGCTGTGACCTTGGGGAGCTGGGTGGCCAGGCGTTGCCCCCCAATCTCCCCCGACTCTCCTCCTGTCTGGAAAAGGATGAACTAAGGTTGATGCAAGCTCTGGAAACCAGAAGAGTCTAATGCAGTGTTTCTCCAGCTGGGCAACTTTGAAACGGGTGGACTACAACTCCCAGAATGCCCCAGCCAGCCATGCTGGCTGGGGCATTCTGGGAGTTGAAGTCCACCCGTTTCAAAGTTGCCCAGCTGGAGAAACATAGGTCCGATGCTTCGACCTGGCACAAGGGTGGCCTCTTTTTCTCAACACATCAGCCCGCAAATGACAGGTTGTCCTCAGCTTACAACGGTTCGTTTAGCGACCGCTCAAAGCTACAACAGCACGGGGAAAAAAAAGGGACTTCGGAACCGTTTTTCATACTTACGACCACTGCAGCATCCCCTTGGCCACTGGTTCTGATTTTTGACGGTTGCAGTGTCCCCCGGGGGGTCAAGTGACCCCCCCCTTTTGCGACCTTCAATTGGGGAAGCCAGGTGCATTTAGCGACCGTACGACTATCCCCTGCGGCCATTGGCTTAACCGCCGGGGCGAGAAAAGTCGTAAAACGGGGCAACCTCCGCTTAACGACCCAATTCGCTTAGCAACAGAAACGTCAGGCTCCATAAATCAAGGACGATCTGTATTCTTTTTTTTTTTTTGCCGGCGGCTTGCAATGTGCCACGTGGAGGCTGGATTCTCTTCTGGGGGGAAAAAATTAAAAAAAAAAATCACTTAGAAATTGCAGGTTTGAATCGCCTCCATCTCGTCTCACAGCCGGCTGGATAATTTGTCTCTCGGCTCCGGGAGGGGATGATGGAAGTCAGCTTGACAGCTGCACAACTCCCAGAGGATCCTGGACCCGGCAGCGTGCAGAGCAGCGACAGACACAGCAGCGACGCGGAATACCAATGAAGCGTCTGCCGGCCAGGCCTGGCGAAATGAATCACCGCGCAGCCGGCTGGGGGGGCAATTGCGGTTATTGCCCAAGGGCATGGAGGGGCTGTGGAGGGGGGGAAGGTGGTGCTTAAGGGGGGGGAGGAAATGCCCCAACCTTAACAAGAGGAAACCCAAAAATATCAGCAACACTTCACCCAGAGCGGCCCAGAAAATCTGACCCAGATTTGGCTGGGTTTTGCCTCTGGCCTTGCAAATGGGACTTCGCCAATCTGGTGCTCCCCCAGAACGAGTTGGAGGCTGATCCCTGAATGTCCAGAGGTCTTGCAGTAGTTGAGGGGTTGCCCCAAAGAAGGGGGGGGGGTCCTCCTATTCTCCAAAGCCCCTGAAGGCAGGACAAGAAGCAAAAGATGAGAACTGATGGAGGGGAGAAGCCACCTGCAATTAAGGAGGAATTTCCTGACAGTCAGCGCAATCCAGACTGGCAATCCAGCCTAGTGGGGGGATGAAGCTGAGAAGGAGACCGAAGCGGCCTGTGACCTGAAGGCCGAAACGACAACCCTATTGTGCGACGGACGGACGGAGAGTCCCCCCCCCCCAAAAGGCACAATTTCCCCTGCTGAAAAAGGGAGAATTTGAACTGGACCAGATGTGCTTAGTTGGCAAAACACCTCCCCGGTGAAAAGAAAGAAAGCTGGTGGTAAAATCATCAGTTAGGTCATTAAAAAAAGTGGGGTGGAAACACACACAGGGACACCAACACACACACACACACACACACACACACACACAATGTGCAACGGAGTGTTTGTTTGAATGAACGCTAAGGTAACCATAGACAACCCCGCTCGATTAATTCATCCCGCTCGTGAATCTGCTATCACCATAGTAACACCATGGGG